CCCCAAAACCCCAAAACCCCAAAACCCCAAAACCCCAAATCCAATAATTATTACTGAAATTACAATCTTAATATAGAAAATAATTAGTCTTCACCCATTAAGCTTATGAAGTCCTTGTGAATTATCCCAACTCTGCAATTTTCATCAAGAGCTGAGTAAGCCTCTAGCCAACCAGAGAGGTTTGGAAGAGATATTATTCATATCTATAAAGAGTAATAAAGAGATTACAATAAAGTTCTTCCTCACTGATAGAAGTTTGATTTCCTCATTATCATCATCAATTAAACCAATCTCTTCATCTTCTAAAAAACTGAATTCAATTGGTGATTCTGTGTTTTGGGGATTAAAGTCAGCAATAACCTAAAGAAACTTTAAGTTTGGACCTATAAAACCAACCTACTTTAGCAATTGCTTGTACTTTTCATACCTTTGAAGGAGGTCATTCGACTAAAATTATTATATAGAAATACTTTGAAAATCTGTTTTATTATCATGACTGTAAATCCTTTTCAACTCACTTAAGTCTTTTTCCTTAGAAATACCAAATAGATTCCAAGCAGGAATTTTATACTTCCTGATTCCACTTGGAAAGTCTTGTAAGCTGGAAAAGTCAAGGAATCTGATGTCGATTAAGCCTCACTTGACTCTTGAGTCTATAAATCGTAATGGTTAAGGTATATTTAGGGAGAAAAGTACCTATGTCATCTGGAATTACACATCCTATCAACATAGTTCTATGAATCATCCCTCAGATAGTGATCGTATCATCCTCTGAGAAGTGCAGAAGATGATATCCGCTGTAATTACTCATCACAGTGTACTTTCACCGGAAGCAATTAGGATAGGTACATTTTCCTTTAGGAGGTTTCTTAGGAGGCTCCTCATCAGTTTTAATCCTAAACTGCAAAACCCCACTTTCAAATAAGCCAATAGGGATGTTGCCAAACTCGAGGAAATAATTAGTCCTGATCCCTGAGCCTATCTTGCCATCCTCGCTGATCAGTGTGAAGGGAGAGTTATCCTGTTCTCTTCTGCGTATCTCTCTTCTAGTAGGCTGATTGTTATGATTCCTTTCTTTAATTTTGTTCAAAATCGCTGAAAGTTCTGTAATTTTCTCAAAATATTTCCAAATATTCATCAGATCTTGATTCTCTTTGACCTCTTCTTTCACTTTGAGATCTGAAAGACTTCTGAAAATGTCAGATATTGATTCCTTGATTGGGTGGTTTCTCATACTGAAGCTGTCGGATTTTTCTACTTTCAATTAGATATTATTTCATTCTTCCTTTCCAACAAAATAAATATTCCAAAGATTGTTGTTTATAAACTTACCTATTTGTTCTAGAGAAATCCCAAAATTATCTGAAATTAATCGATCCAAATTATAATCTTTATTGTCACTAAAAGAATGTTATCTCCCATTTTTTATACTGTTAAGATGGTTCTAAACTTACTAGACCATGGTCTCTCGAGAGACATCAGGGGGTTTCATTATGCCTATAGTTTTCCTAATGCCCATTCTTTCAGGAGTCTCATACTGCTCCTTAGTTTGAGCTTGAATTGATTTGCTCCATTCATCCTCTATTATCCTATCCGAGTTATTTGATGTTGTTTGAATGATAGATTTCTTATGCCTCCGATGAGAGCCGACGCTTGGGTTGAGGTGTTGGGAGTCATTAGCACTCTTCCTTTGTGAAGATTCTAAAATCCCCAAGGATTTCTCTAAAATATCAGAAGTGTCTGGAATCTTAATCATGCTGTTCCTTGTATTATTCCCTGGCTCTCTCATCTGAAGCTCTGCTTCTTTTATCATATTACTAATCCTCCTGGTCAAATTCTTGCCTGCTTCCTCTTTATCAATAGTAGAATTGACAGATTTCTCAATGGATTCAGTTAATTTCTCTAAATCGAGCCAGCTGTTGGCTTCTCTGTTGAGGTATTCAAGAATTTCATCTTCAACTTCTTTCCCATGGTCGGTGGAATTCATCTTAATTTTTACTATTTTTCAATATAAATTATTAACAATGGGGTTTTGGGGTTTTGGGGTTTTGGGGTTTTGGGG